GGAAGGGCCTCAAATTGCCCCAGGGGAGGTTCAGGTTGGACATCGGGGAAAATGAATTCCCTGCCCATTGGAATGGGCTGACCTGGGAAGTGTGTGGGGGGGTCACCATCCCTGGAAGTGTTCAAAACATGAGAAATGCCATATAGTTTTGTGGGAACCGTGGGATTTGGTCACAGGTTGGCCCTGATGATCTTGGAGGTCTTTTCCAGCCTTAGTGATCCCGTGATTCTATGGAATCTGAGGAAGTCTCCCAGACTGGATATACAGAATATTTTCCAGAAGCAGCTTAACACAGTGTTTATTTTTCACTGGTATTTACCACTGGAGTCTCCATTGAGGCTTCCTGAGACTAAATCCACCTCCGTGGAGTTGTTGGAGGTGTGGGATCGACTGTCCAGCGCCGCCAGGGACTGGAGCATGCTCAGGAGGCTGCTGGAAGTTGGGAATTGCAGGTACTTCTCCGGGACATATCCCACCTGACCCGCCTTATTCCGTGCCTGGAAACCAACCACAGAAGAGATCCTCTGCTTGTGCACAATCCTCTGGAAAGAATCCCAGTATTTCCTCCCATTCCAAGTTTCATTTCTGATGGAATTCATGCAAACAATCCCAGGAAAGTGATACCTTTACCCAGTCTTCCATGTCTCCATCCTCAATGACCTCCAACACCTCGTGCTCCTCTATGGTCAATTCATCCGGTTGGGAAGCCTGAAGGGAGAACAGGAAGGTTGGAAAAGTGGCTTCAGGAGCAGTGGAAAGAACATTTTCACCTCGATTTTTATTTAAAAAAATGGTTTTTAAAACACTGGGAAGTTTTCTGATGGAGATACTTTAAAAAATCCAAATGAGGTGTCTCTTTATTACCACTCACAAGAGCCTTTTTCCCCTCAAGAAGAGATGGAATCCCCCTGAATCCCACCTTGTGAGCTCCCACATTTCTTAGTGGTCTGTGATACAATTTTTCTAACCAATTAAAAAACAATAATCACTCACTGACCTTATAGGAATAAACAACTTTGCAGGTGAGGGGGTAATTTCTGAGGGTGCCCGAAGGACTGGAACTGCTGTCATCAAACACGTCCATGCTGTCCTCAAACTCTTCCCCTTCCTCCTTTTCTGCATCAGCATTGATCTGTTCCAACAAATTGCATTTGTTAATGCCATTAAATTCCAGCTGAGAGGTATCAGTGAGAAAAGAACAATCAAATCCAGTTGATTCCTATTTTTCAGTGAGTTTTTTTCCACTCGTGGAAAGTGGACAAACCCCAACGATTTAATAATATTCAATATATGATCCCTAAATAAGATCAGGAGAAGAGTCACCACAGAATCCCAGGATGGTTTGGGTTGGGAGGGACCTTAAAATCATCCAGTTCCACCTCCTGCCGTGGGCAGGGACACCTTCCACTATCCCAGGTTGCTCCAAACTGGCCTTGGACACTCCCAGAGAATTTATGCCACTAAAAGCTTCCTGTATCTGTGACCACGAGTTATAAAATAAATCTGCAGTGGCAATATTTCAAGTTGAAAAAAAAAACAAGCCCCAAAATCAGCACATTCTGCACAACAGATGTGCTGCAGTTTATTAAAAATAATAATAATTAAAAAATCCTTAGAGGAAAAAACCTTGATATGAAAGTTTAAATAAAACCTGAAAAATGCTGGAAAAATACAAGTTTCTATGAATGTAATTTGGGCAAGGCTGCCATGAGCTGTGCTTTGGCCTCGTGCCTGGGCTGGGTTTTGAATAAACACTTTATCTCATGTGAAAATGATGAATTATCCTGTGAAAATAGTCCTTGGAATGAAAGGCAGCACTGTTCTGCATTTGCCATCTTCCCTTTATTTATTCCTTTTCACGGGAGGGGTGAATTTGGTCCTCCCTGGGAAAAGTGGAAAGCTGAGAAATCAACAGAAAGTTAAGCTGAGCTCAAAAAATCCCTGTGCAGCCTCCCTAAACCAGCCCTCTGCGACACCTTTGCTCTTCTAAGCCTGGACTAGAAGGGCACAAAGATTCATCATTTCTGGACTTCATGAATTTTTATTAAATTTCCTGACTAAATCCTTGCAATTCCACTAATTTCCACTCAAGTGCAGTTTGCCTCCGTTGCTCCGTCAGTGTTTTCATGGACATTGGGATAACCAAAAATTCCTTGTCCTACATGTGGGTAACGCTTGGATTTATTCCCAACCAACTATAAACTGTGGCAAATGGAAGGTTTTCCCTCCTGTCTCTGCCTTTGGCTGTGCCTGGGCTGTGTCCCAGCTGCCATCCATAGGGAACATCATGGAAATTAGTGGATCATGTCTGGAAAGGCTCGTTTGTGCCACACCTGCTCCTGGTTTTCTAACACGAGGAGGGAAAACGGGGTTTAATTTTAACTGTGTGGCTGCTCTGACTTCCTTTTCCATAAAATCATTCGGGAAGTAGGCAAGGGCAAGGAGAGGGAAAACGGGGACACAGAAAACCGAGGGGTTGGTTTGATAAAGCTCATCCTTCTGCAGGGCCTGGGATGAAAAACGGTGTCGGGAAGGAATAAATACGTGAGAAATCAAGGAATAAATAGGAGTGGAACAGGCAGCAAAGCCAGGAATAAATCTAGGTGAGGTGATGAGAAAAATGAGAAAAAAGGTATGGAAATAAATATATAAATAT